TTATAAATTTCTTCTCAATAATTCCATTATTATCATAAAGAATAAAATTCATTTTAGGCATTTAATTATTTTCATAAATAATAAAACTCATCGCAGAATTTCAATTATTTTTAATACAATTTTAATCGAATTCCTCAAAAATTATTTTTTAAATAAATTATTTTAAATTTAAATTACTTTTTGTATTTAAATAATTGAATTCTTGAAAAAAATTTTAATAAAAATTGATTTAAAAATAAATTTTAGTTAAAAATTTATATAATAATTAAATATTAAAAGCATTATAGCATGAATTTTTATTAACAATTGAATTTTGAAATGGTTTCTAATATTAAAATCTTTGAAGATCTTAAACTAACATTTCTGTAGAATTAATTTTTTTGAAAAAGTTTAATTGAATTTTTTGTTGTCATTTTAATATATATATACCTACCTGTGAGGCATTTCATTTCAAATCGTTCCACCGACAAAAAACAATCGCAAGGAGAGCGATTTTCTAATAAATTTTATTATTTAAAAATTTAATTATTTGTAACATGTTATACACTGAATCGAAAGAGAATTTCATGAACTTTCTAGTGCTATTTTTATTTTTTTAAATTTCTCTCAATTTCTTAGAGAAATTCCTGTTTGAAAGTTTAAACTATCTTAATATCTCAAAACACCCCCCTCCCTCTCCCCGTCGATTTTTATCAAAATTATGTGGAAATGAAGCTTAACTTTTCTATAGTTTCCATTCCCGTATAATATATTATGGACATTTAATGGGATTAATAGAAAAAAGATTGTTTAAAAAATATATTTTTGAAAAATTTGACAAATGGTACGAAGTTGAAGGTTAGTTAGGATTCAACTTCGTACCATTATTTGTCAAATTTTTCAATAATATATTTTTTAAACAATTTTTTTTCTATTAATCCCATTAAATGTCCATAATAAAGTGAAGTTATTGATGTTTTCGAATAATTTTACTTTTGAAGAAATTTCTAAATAAATGTAAAATAGAATATTTTTTTGAATATCTCATAATTTTTAGAGTGAATCAGAATATTCTTTAGGGACAGGGAAAAAGTGAAAATTTTGTCTGAAAATCAGGGAAAACCAAAATTAAATTTTTGTAGCAACCCTGACAAATTCATCAATGAAAATTGGAAAATAACACAAAAAAAACTTAGTTTCGCAGATGAACTTTCTTATAAATATAGAAACAGGATTAAAATAGACTTTGTGTAAAATAAACCATATTCAACTTCATGATTTCTGTGTTAATCGAGAAAATTCAAATTCCAAGTCTAAATTGTCAAACTCTCAAAAATTTGAGATAAACTGAAAAATATGCTAAAAAGCACTTATTAAATTCAAAAGAGTCGGTTACTTTTACCTTTTTTCTCAAACTACTTGATTTGTGTGACCACAGGAGGAACTAATTTTTTTCTTTTTTTAATACTTTTGGTTTCGTGTAAAAAAAGCTCTTTTTCTATATAAAGAAGAAGATTTCCCTGCATATTCTCCGAAATAGCGTTGCAAAGTAGGTCAACATGAGATATAAACTCGAAATGACTCGATACATGAAGAAATTGTTTTTGAGGGGAGAAAATGACGAAATGAAACTTGACCGAAGCATTTTATGTACTATGCGTTGTAGGCTTTTAAGAGAGAGAGAGGGAATGAAGTAGAGGTCATAGATGCAACTAAAGGTCGTCCCAATTACAACGAGGCTATATCTGCGTGCATTTTGATCAAAGTGTAGGAGAGGGTGTGTGCAGGTGTATTTACGTTTAACCCGGTGCGGATCGATGCAGGTGTGTAGGCGGTGTCCTACACGCAGGAAATACCTTGTCTATATCATTTATTTGATTTTTTTCGTTTTGTAAAAAGTTTATAAACACAACTTTACCTCTCCCTTTTTTCCCCCTCAGGGACATTATATTGTTGCCCTTTCAATTCTATTGATGAATCAACGATACACGTATATTATCACTCACTTTCCATTATATTAATTTCTCGAGGGAAATTAACTCTTCCCAATGGTCCACGTATTTTACAATATTGTTGCAATCAAAACCATTGTTCTGTATAAATATTATCTAACGAGGCATAAATTCTTATGCACATACTGTAGATCTGGAATATTTCTCCTGAACATCATTCTAATTATTTAACATTTCATGAAATTACTGAAAAATGTTTGAATTTTCAAAAATTAAATTCATTTCCTATTTTTAGTGAGAGGAAAACGAAACGATTTCTCTATTAGACAAAAAAATTGACTAGTAAATTCGAAAACTTTTATTTGTCAATTTATTATTACTTTTTTTTAGTTGTATTTTTATATACATAATATGCTATGTAACGATGCTTATGAGCGACCTTAAGTATATATGTATAAACTGTGTAACTTAATTCATACATTAATGACTTTTGCGATTCCCATAAAATTATCATTTTCAGAAAAAAGGACAACTGCAGCAGTGAATGATCAGACACCAGTGAATCCACACAAATACTCGATTCAAAAAAATTATTACAACTAAGCATTTAAAGATTATTATTTACAAAAAATGCTGTAAATTAATATTCCTTCTTTTACTTGTATAAAAATTACGAAACAAACGTTATTAAAATAAATGTATCTCGCTCAGTGTTTCATTCACTGGTGTCTTCATATTATTTATTTTATATTTTTATCACTATTTCATTTTTTGCTATTTTACTAATAATTTTACTTATTAATAAATTTACTAATTTTACTAATAATTGAATTAATTAATATAAATAAAAAATTTAAATAGTAATTAATCAAATTAATCACAGTTTTCTTAAAAATATGAAATCGATACTAAAGTGGATCAAATTGATACCAAAAATGTGGTAGGTGCTCACTTTTTCTAAAAAATATTTTCTATTTATCTAAGTAAAGCGATTGCAAATGAAATCTATTTTCTAAAAAAATGTTTTTCTAACAAGTTTTGATTGCTAAAAAAAGTTTTTCTAAAAAAATTATGATTTCTAATATTTATTTTCCTAAAATTTTTGTAAAATTTCATAATTTTGATAAAAGTTAAAAAATTGTTAAATATTAAGGTCAGGAAATAAAAACTATTTCTTATCACAATTTTTTAACAAAATTCTGTTGTTCTTTGAAGAAAAAATAATAATTTGCATAATTTTTTTACCAAAATTTCCAAAATTAATTTATTTATAAAACATTTTTTTAGAAAATTTTTAAATATCTTTAGGATAACTAGATTATTTTAAAATCTTGTTAAAAAATTTACATAATTTCTATTTTTTATTTTACAATTTTTAACGAAATCTCAAGAATTTTTTTTAAAGAATTAAAAAATTTTCGTAAATTTTATTGTTTAATCATATACCTACCTATATATCGTCATTACAAAAATTGAATATTGTTAGAAAATTTTTTTTTTGAAAATTACCTTTATTAGAAAAAGAAATTTCTAGAAAATGACTTTTATCAGAAGAAAAAAAATTAGAAAATCATATTCATTAGAAAAAGGTTTATTCGAAATTCAACTTTATAAAAAAAAAAATGTTTAGAATATAAAAAATTAGAAAATACGTTTTAGAAAAACTGTACCCCAACCCAAAAATGTAGATCATTTTTTGTATTTTGATTCATATTTTTGATATCAATTCGTTACAATTTGATACTTTTATGCTATCAATGATAGATTTAATTAATTTTTCATTTCCATTAATATAAAATTAATGTCAAATTATTATTTATATTAATAATATAAAATTAATATGAATTATTATTTATATTAATAATGTAAAATTAAAGTATTCAAATTATATTTTTTTTTCTAAATAAAATTCATCTAGCTGTTTAAAATAAGTCGAAGTTAGTGAAACACTATTTGTGCGTTCACTGGTGCAGTGACCCTAATTTCCTTCTCGAAAGCTTAATTGTCTATATATTTATATACAATCGAATTGTTTCTCTTTTATTGAGCTTTCATCAGTTTTATAATTTTTCCACAAAATGGTTTCACTATTTTTTTTAGAAAAAATTAGTTTAATAACTAAATTATCTTTTCATAATATTTCTTATTACAAATATTCGGTGACGAATAAGCAATTATGTAAGATCATCGAGAAAATACAAAAGAATCGAGAAATGCAAATTCATTGCAACACTTTTTACATTAAATAAAACAATTCTATTTTTAATTTAAATATAAAATAAAATAATTCTATTTTTTACAGAAAAAAACAATTATATTTTAAATTTAAATATAAAAAATAAAACGATTTTATTTTTTACTTAAATATAAAATAAAACAATTTAACTTTTCACTTAAATACAAAATAAAAAAATTATATTTTTTAATTAAATGTAAAATAAATTCGTTATTCACTTATTTTCAATTTTGATAAATTGAAAAATTCTGAATAATTTTTGTCGAAAATTTGTATTTTCTATATAAAAGAAAATTTCCTTTTTTCTGTGCATAAAATTTGGAGCAAAAATATTTTAAAACATTTGGGAATCCTTAATATTTATAATGAAACGAGTTACCGAAGAATATTTTGCTACTCACAAAATCGTACAGTTAACTTTCATATCATTTCCATTAAGTTTGATCTATTCACAAATTTATGAATTACAATTCTGTCAAACGTCTTCGTACTCACATTCATTCTTTCATATAAAGAACGCAATTTGTTTCCTATCGTCTGTTCACAACCAGATACAAAAAAGAGATTTTTCTTACAATTGTAGTTTTATTTATTTTTTTAAATAATTTTTCAATCATCAAAATACAATTTTTCTTTAAAATGAATTTCTTTTCTTTTCTTTATTGTAAATGATTGTAAATGAAAAGCAAAAATCAAGAAAATGGACGTATTAAAAATAAAAATAAACTGTTTAATATTTTTTTAAATTAAAAAAAAACTAGAAAATTGTTAATAATAAAAATTTACATGTAAACTGTAAATTTTCCATAAAATTATTTTCTCATGCAATTTCTAATTGATTAGTTAATTATTTTTTAAAAAATTGAATTTTTGGATGATTTTTGACGATAAGAAATATTATAAAATTAAGTTCCTATCTAAACTGCAAAATTACTGCAAAAATTCAAGAAGAACTTGAAATTTTTTTGTTTTAATTTTGCAGTATCACAATGCTCTTGAGACTATTTTCTTTCTAAAATATCATTCTTTCGCGAAATATCTCTAAATTTAAATCAGATATAAAGTATCTAGTTAATGCTTTATGTTTCAATTATTTACACTACACATTTTTTCATTGGCTATTTGATATTAAATGAATCAAAAATGATAACTAGAGGAAAAAACGAAAAAAATTTTCACAGAAAATATTGCGTCGGCATAAAGAATAAAATATTGGCAGTAATTTACAAATAGATTGCTAAATAGAATAAAAATATATAAATTTTTAAACGTAGAGATGTTTTCTTAAAAAATAGTTTTCTTCAGAAATTCTTCGAAGAAAATTAAAGGAAAAAGAATGTTTAGAATTTGTCACAAACAGTCTTGTTCTTTTTTCTTTTATACAAAATTTTCTTTTAAACTTCGATAAATACTTATACACACAATATATAATTAAGCCAATTGTCAGTCTCTAAATTCGTTAAATTCCCTCTGAATAATGTAACAAAGTTTGCAGATAGGATATAAATACAGGGAAAAAATTCTGATAAGTCATTTTTCATTTTGCATCGCAGTCCATGCCGATATGTATTTTAAAATTTCGATACGCAAAATTTACTCATTTTAACGAGTTGAGAAGTTGTTGAAAAAAAAACAAACGCTGCACAGCAACAGCTTCGTGTAAATTAAATTTAACATTTCTAAAAATAAACTTGACTGAATTCATTGAGATTTATTTTTTCGTGGGACTTTATTGAAGTAAAAATTGAGATTCTGATTCGCTAATGAAATTATATTCACAAGAGAGAAAATATAGGTTTCCAAAAAAAAAATTGTCGTTTATTTTTGGCAAATTCTCAATGAATTCATCGTTCTAGACTTCTTTGTTTTTTATTAAAATTTAGAAGGTATAAGGAACTTCAGTGTCTTCTGGTTGATTTTCCAATGTACAGGGCCTCAGGAATTCTTGGCCTGATTCATGTAGCCATTTGTTTGCAACTGTAAAACAAAAATAAATATTTAATGAACTTTACTTCTTTTTAGATAATTTAAATCTTAAAAATTACTAAAAATTATTTATTTAGAGAAGAATTTGGCTAAAGTTATACAAAAAAATTGAATTTGGAAAGAATAAATTAGGTACAGTCGCAATTTTTAGAAAAATAATTTAATTCTAAAAAAAATTTCTAAAATTAGAAAAAATAATCTATTTAGCGAAGAATTTCAATTAAAAATTCTGGAAAATAATTGAATTTTGGAAGAATTATACTTGTAATTTTTAGAAACATAATTTAATTTTTAAAAAATTTCTAAACTCACTAAAAATAAACTATTTATCAAAGAATTTCAATTAATAATTCTAGAAAATAAATTAATTTTAAAAGAATTATAATTCTAATTTTTAGAAAAATAATTTAATTCTAAAAAAAATGTCTAAAATTACTAAAAATGAACTATTTAGCGAAGAATTTCAATAAAAAATTCTAGAAAATAATTGAATTATGAAAGAATTGTAGTTGTAATTTCTAGAAAAATAATTTAATTCTTAAAAATATTGCTAAAATGACTAAAAATAATTTACTTAGTGAAGAATTTTGTCTAAAAATCCTAGAAAATAATTAAATTTTGGAGAAAATAATTAATATTGGAATTTTTTAAGAATTTTTGAATAGTTTTAATTTTTAGAAAAATAATTGAATTCACAAAATATTTTCTAAAATTACTAAAAATAATCTATTTAGCGAAGAATTCCAATTAAAAATTTTACAAATGAATTGAATTTTGGAAGAATTATAGTTGTAATTATTATAAAAATAATTCAATTTTTAAAAAAATTTCTAAACTTACTAAAAATAGTTTATTTAGACAAGAATTTGGCTCAAGTTATGGAAAATAATTGAATTTTGGAAGAAAATAAAAAAATAATTCAATTCTAAAAAAACTTTCTCAACGTTACTCAAAATAATTTATTTAGAGATGAATTTTAGTAAAAAATTCTAGAAAATAATAGAATTTTGGAAGAATTACAGTTATTGTAATTTTTGGAAATAATTAAATTTTAAAAGGTTTCATATTATTATTGAAAATTTTAATTCTTGTGGAAAAAGTAAACAGCATAAAGTTTCTAAAATAATTTAACATAAAAATACTGAAGCACCGAAAAATTGAATTTAGAATATCTTAAAAATTTTAATTAAAATTTCTCCAAGAATTAGATAATTGAAATTCTGAATACAATTAATTGAAGAATTTTCAAGCAATAGAGATTTGAATTTTTGAAATTTCGACAAATTTTATTAAAATAGAATTTATATTTTATTTTTAAAATATTTTTACAATATTAAAAATTTATATTTAAATATCTTTAAAAATATTCTCGTCTTTAAAAGAAAAAGTATGAAGAAATTGTAATAAATTATTTGGAAATAATTAAATTTCAACTGTCAAAACCTAAGAAAAAAATTAAAAATGCACAAATATGAAAAAAATTTCAGATGGCGACAGAATGAATTCGACGATTATTTTAAGTACTATTTCTAAAAATAACAAAATGAATCTTTCTGAAAGAAAAATTTACCCCATTTTGATCCTGTAAGTACCGGACAAGCGGCATGCCTCGTTAAGAAATCTCCACCTCCGTTTGGTTTCAGGTTGTACCAGAATGCTGCGCTTCCTTTTTTAGGCCACAAGGAAAGATTTATTCTTGTGAACACAGTTCCACCTCCTTGCTCCACATCACTCATCTAAAAAAATATTTATTTCATTATTTACTGTTTATTTTGAAAAAAAAGAAAAAAATATTGAAAAATAAATTATAAAATTATTTTATATAATAATAATGGTGATATTCTGCCCTCACTTGAAATTAGGGCTTTTTGATTCCAAATTGTTTTACAGCTCAAATTGTCGTGTCAAAAGTTTGACAATTAATTTGTAAATAGAGTGATTAGCGTTTTTGTTAAATTAATTCCCCTAGAATTTTTACAATAACAGCATTTTTACCAGGAATGTAAAAGAAAGGAAATTTTATCCAAAAAAATGTCAAATTATTCAAAATCTTAATTAGTCAATGAATTTTTTTTCTCAAATTCAAAAAATTCAATAAAAAGTTGCAATTTTTAGAAATGATCAATTATTTATTTTTGTATTTAAATAAATCAATTCTCGTACAACTTTTTTATAACAATTGATTTGAAAAAGAATTTCAGCTTAAATTTTAGAAAATATTTAAAGAATTGAAAAAATTGCAGTTATAATTTTAATTAAATTTCAAAAGGTAAATGGTTATTTATTAAAAGGTTATTTTACACATTCAATATGTAAAAAAAATTGAAAGTATTTTGAAATTTTAATTCCTGGTAGATAAATAAATCACAATAAGTGTTCAAATGTTTATTAAATAATAATTTTATTTAGAAATGCTGAAAAAATAAATTAGGATTTATAAAATCACAATTAAAATTTTTTGAAAATAGTTGCATTCCCGAAAATAATTTTAAAAAATTGTAAAAGACGGAACCAACCAATCTTTTGTTTTATAGTTCGAATTGTTATGTCAAATGTTTGACAGTTAATTTTTAAATAATAAAATAAGTGGAGTAAGAAAATTTAACCCCAATTACAAAAAATCAATAAAGAGGTACAGTTGCAATTTTTAAAAATAATTAATTACTCTATGAATTATTTATTTTTGTATTTAAATAATTGAATTCTGATAAGAATTCATTTAAAAAAGAATTTTAGTTAAATCTTTAGAAAACAATTAAAAGTGTTAAATTAGGATTCTTTAGAAATAATTAAATTTCAAAAAGTTTTTAAATTTTAATCTTTAAAATTTTAATTGCTGTAAAAGTACCATAATATTTAAATATATAAAAAATTATTAATTCGTTAGCTTTCTTAAAAATTAAAAGTTTTTAATAATTTTATTTAAAAATTCTAAAAAAATAATTGGATTTTGGAAGAATTACAATTGCTATTTTTAGAAATAATTAAATTTCAAAAGGTTTTTCATTGAAATTATGTGAAATTTTAATTCCTGTCGAAAAATAAATAAGAATAAGCTTTTAATTTTTTGTTTAATAAAAAGTATTGAATTTGAATAATTGATTTTATTTATTTACTTTTAAATATTATTTTGAAATATAATCGTATTTTTTAAGAATTCTGATTGAAAATTTGGAAAATAATTGAATTTTAAGAAAATTTAGAATAAACATATTACCACTGGAAAGTTCAATTATTTAATTAAAAATATACATGTAAGTTGCTGTTAGAAATATCTTGGCGATTTCTATACGAATTGTTTAAATAATTAGTAATTTTTTTTTAAATTTAAAGAAAAACTGTTAGAAAAATTATATTTTTTAAAAAATGAAGAATTTTTATTAAATTTGAAGAAGCAAATCTTTTAAAGTAACAATGGAGCGTGTAGTTTTGCTAGTTATAATAATATTTAAATGTTCATTAAAAAAAAATTGTTAATATATTATTTTTCTGTAAAAATTATTAATGTTTTGAAAAATTTGTCTAAAAAATAATTGAAATTTGGAAAAATTACAGTTGTAGTTTTTAGAAATAATTAAATTTAAAAAGGTTTCACATTAAAATTATTTGAAATTTCAATTAAAATAAATAATATTAATATAAAATAATAAAATTATTAAAATAAATAAATAATAAAATTAATAATAATATTTAATATTATTATTAAAAATAATAATAATAATAAGTTTTTAAATATTTTTTTAAACAAAAATTGGTAATGTTTTGAATAATTTTATTTAAAAATTCTAAAAAAAATTAGTCTTTTGAAAAATTGTAATTAAAATTTTTTCTGAAGATAATTGAATTCCCGAAATAATTTAAAAAATTGAAACACATTAAAGTTTTGTCAAATTTGCAATAAATTTTATATTTGAAAGAATTAAATTTTACTCTTTTTAAAAATTTGTTTAGAAATATAATCTTAGTTTTGAAGAATTTTATTTTAAAAAATTATATTTTTTTTAAAATAATAGGTAAATTTTCCTTAAATTTCAAAAAGAAAGTATTTGTAAATATCAACGGGCTACAAAAGTTCACGCGCGATTGCACGCGAGTATTTATTCTAATGTTGAATAAAAATTCAAAGGCAAGTTTTTTTTAGGTTTCTACTTGAATCCGAAGCTTCAAAAATTCAATGCAATAAATAAAAATTAAAGTGAATTCGATTCCCATTTTTCTTTCTTTTCAACTTAAAGAAAACGAGGATAATAAAAATTCCTTACGTAATATAGAACCGTGGCGATACGATTTCCAGTGCCAAGACTTTTGAAAGCATTCGTTTCCTCTTTCTGTAACGATAATAATAATAATAATAATAATAATAATTTATTAATAATAATAAAAAATGTTTATGCAAAATTGAAAATCAGAGAATAATCTTTTGCGTATATAAAAAAGTGATTTACCCTCGCAAAATCAAAGTGTGGCTCATAATGACCGCCAATTCCATAATTAACGACTTGAAGTTCTTCAGCGGTGTCGACCGTCAAACTCGTCATGTGTTCAACACGACGACTCACATCCTTTACGTGTTTGTGTTCGTGTTCCTGGAGCCAGGCACTCTTACTAATTCTGTAGTGCGCAATTTCCAACTCACCAGTTTTATAGTTCTGCACTGTAGCCCTCTTAAACTAAAAGAACAAAAGACCATAATTATTTTTCCACTTTATCATTATTTTCTCTTTAGATTTTTTTATTCTACAAGTGCGCCTCCTTCAAAATAACACGTATATACATATTTAAAATTTTCCTTACAATTTATATTTTCTAAAATTTCATAAAAATTTCATGAATTCTATATCAATTTTTAATATAATAAATGAAAATAATTGCAAAAGTAAAACATTTCTTCATAATCATTTATATTTGTAATTCCATAAAACTTTCATCAATTCTGTTTAATTAATTAAAATACTGTTTAAAATAGCAGGGGATCTTTTTAGCAAGTTGAAATATGAGTTCTGAAATTATATTATAAATTGAAATATCTTATTTTTATAATGATTGACTTCACCTCTTGAATATTCACTTATTTTTCATTTTTGAGATAATTTCTGTATTCAATTTTAAGATTAATTAAATTTTACTTGATGATAATAATAAATGGAGTGTCAAAGCAAAAGCAAAAGAAAAAGAAAAAAAAATTGACAAATGGCTATCAGCGTGTGTAAAAATAAATGTAAAAAAGAAAGAAAGAAGTGAAAGGTTCAACGAACTCTGGGTTGTGCCAATCTTTTGATGGTCTCTATTTCCTCGTCATAAATTACATCGTGGTATATCACAATTCTCGGGTTCAGATAAGCTTCTTCTTCTTTGAAAGGAGCTATTTTCAAGAACGAAATTCCTCGGTCGACATATCGACATTTCAATTGTTTCTGGATATCTGCGGGTAGTGAAATTTCTCCACGACAGAGCATCTCGTATCTCTCCCTCTCAGTCATTTCCTTCAATGTCTTGACTTTCTTCTCCGTTACAGTAAAGGGCTGTAAAGAAAAATTTCGTTTCTTTCATTAACTTTTTATTTCTAATTATTCAAAATTATTTTATTTTAGTAAACATGTAAAATTGTTTTTTGGATTTCTTAAATTTTAGAAAAGATTAAATAAATTTATCCACATTTATCTTAACAAAAACAACCTTAAACATCTTTACCATTATTTAATTTTGTTATTTAATTGTATTTAATACTAGCAAATGTTACGCACGCGGAACGTTTTATTCAATTTATTATTATAATGCAAATTACAAAATTTTTCATTTTCAAATATATTCGAATTTTTCAATAATTTCAGATTCAAACTTTAAAAAAAATTCAATTACTAACTAATCTACTAATTAATTATTCTTGTTTATTAATTTCAAAAATTTTAATAAAATTCTTCGCAAGAATTCAATTATTTTCCTAAATAACAAAATTCTTTGGAGGAATTCTATTATTATCAATTTTATGATAAAATTCTTTGCAACAATTCGATAATTTTCAATACATTAATTTTAAAATTAAAAATATTAAAAAAGAAAAATCATTAAATTAGTTAAGAAACAAAATAGCAAAAAAACAACTAACTTCCAACTGCGAACAGACTGATTACCGGAATACAATGATTATTAATATAGATTATTTACGAAATAATTCAATTTTATATAATCTATAAGTATTTTCAATTTAAAAATTAATGTAGCTATTGAAAATCATTGAATTCTTGCAAATAATTTTATCAAAAAATTTGAAAATAGTTTAATTCCTTCGAAGAATTTTATAAAAAAATTTGAGAATAATTGAATTAATATCTTCAAAGAATTTTATAGTAAAATATTTGAAAATCATAATTAAATTCTTTTGAAGAATTTCTTTGAATTCTTTTAAAAATAATGAATTTTTTTAAATAATTTGAATTGAAAATTTTTTAAATAATTGAATTTTATAAACAATTTCTTTCAAGTTTTTAAAAAAATCGTATTTCTTAATAATTGAAATTAAACATTCAATTATTGAATTTTATTAACATTTTTAGAAAATAATTAAATTCATCTGAGAATATTTTATTAGAATTTTCCAAAATAATTTAATTCATTTAAGGAATTTTATAAAAATATAGAAAATAATTAAATTCTTTAAAAAAATGAGATATTATTAAAGATTTTGACAATAATTGAATTCTTTCAAAAAATTTTTCTTATTTATTGAATATAATCGATTTTGTTAATAATTGTAATGAATTAATTTTACATAAAATTTTATTAAAATTATTGATAGAAAATTAAACTCTTTTAAACAAATTTATTAAAGTTTTTGTAAATAATGTAGTTTTTGACTAATTTTAAATGAAAATTTTAAAAATAATTAAATTGTTTCGATAAATTTATTATAGTTTAAAAAAAATAATTGAATTTTTTCAAAAAATATTATTAAAAATAAAAAAAAATTGAATTCTTTCATGAAATTTTATTAAAGTTGTATTAAAAATATAAAAATAATTGAATTTTTGCAAACAATTTTACTATTTATAAAAATAATTGAATTTTTCGAAAAATGTTATTATTTACGAAAATAATTGGATTCTTGCGAAGAATTATATATTAAAATTTTTGAAACAATTAATCTAGAATTCTTAATTAAAATTCTTCTTGAAAAACAATTATTTTTAATAAGAAATTTTCTGGAGAATTCAATTATTTATGCAATGAAAAAAAAGTTCATGTACCTAAGTTATTTCTGCAATCTAATTATTTACAATTTTATATTAAAATTTTTGAAAAAAATTAAATTGTTTTTGAGAAATTTTTTTGGAAATTTAAAAAAAAAATTAAATTGTTTTTGAGGAATTTTTTTGGAATTTTTGAAAATAATTAAATTATGTCGAGGAATTGAATTATAATAATTATACTAAATAAGATACAAGGAAAAATTATATTTATTTTTTTATCGCTATTAAAAAAGTTACCTGATCTGAAAGACCAATATCGTCCTGACCATCTTCACCTCGTTTTCTTTTAACTTGACTAGATTTCTTTTCAATTTCTTCTTGATAATAAGCTCGATTTCCTAAAGCTCTTTGATGCGTTGGAACCAATTCCAAAAGTTCGTTTGTCATACTTAAGGCTCTAGCAACGTTTCCTGAAAAAAGAAAAATGTTTGTAAATTAAATGTAAATAAAAAAAAACATTAAAAAATTAAAAAAAAAAAATTGTTAGGGAATAAAAGGAGCGGAATTTATCCAATATTTATGGTATCAGGTTTCGAAGAGAGAGATTAATTTTGTAAAAGGGTGGCGCGACGTTTACAAGCGAGTCACTGCTACCCCTGAATGATTTAATCGTAAATTTATAATTCATATACTTGATACATAGAATCGACCTTTTCTCTTGCTTTGAAAAGTTTTTCTTTGTTCATTTCTTCCCTTATCGACCGAAAGGAGCAATAAATAAATAAAAATTAAAAATTTAACCCACAGAACTTCATTTAAAATTAAATTTATTAAATTTTAATTTTTAATCAAAATTTTTATTACAACGATACTTTTGTATTAAAATTTCATTAATTTTTAATATATACGAAGTGAATTTAAAAAAAAGTAGTGAAATTAACTTGGGTCTTGGAAAAATTTTCTTCAAAAATAATAAAATTTAATATTACAATTTTTTTTCCAGAATTACTTTTACTATTTACAAAGACAATTTCTTCTTATAAAAATTAGAAAAATTTAGTTTAATAATAGTACCTACAATTTACTCAAAAAATAATTTTTAATATCTAATTGTAATGTTCCAATTAACAATTAAAAAATCATTAATTCCAAAATAAATTTTATAATATCCGTCGTAAATTTTATTTGCAAATTAGTAAAATATACTTTGAATTTAGTAAAATTTATTCTAAAATTAATACAATTTGTCAAAAATTCCAAACAATTTGGATTGAAAAATAGTATAGAAAGATTTTTAAGTTTCAAAAAACTAAAAAAGATGAAAACTACTATTTTTTCAACTGTATTGACATTTCTATTTTCAGTGATTTTATATTTGACACAAAATGCAACTATTTGTCTTTAACTTAAAATTTCAGGTATATAAGAGGAAATTTCTTATATGTACAAACCTTGCATATAAGTAGAGAATGCCAAATATTCCAAGATATCTGGCTTGGAAGTTGTTGTTCTATTTTGCTCCTCTTGGAGGCGATCCATAGCCTCCTGCATCCAAAGAACAGTGTGATAATAGTCACCATTATTGTAAGATTGTCTGCCAAGCTCAAAACAATCACCGGCTGCAATAAAATAAATTCTCCTTAAATTTTAATCTTGGAAATACTAAACTACATATATTTACAAAAATTATATATGTAGACGAATGAGAAAACGATATATATATACTTTTTAGAAATATTAAAAGTAAATAGAAAGTTTAAGAATGTTAACCGCATATATATCGCTGGATCGAATTCAGTCTGACTGAAATTTGTTGTGACTACTGAATTTACAGAAAGGACTGAAAATTAAATATTTAGGATGATTAAAACTATTTTTCACTACTGATTCACGAATAGTACGAAAAATTACCAATTATGTCTGACTAAAACATATTTTATCTACTACTTTAGAAAAAGAACCATATATTTTATTATGTCTGACTACACCTAGTTTCCACTACTGATTTTGAAGAAGCATCAAAAACATGATATTTCGAATGACTGAAACTTGTTTACATTACTGCTTTACAAAAAGTATAAAAAATTATGTGTTTTGGCTGACTAAAACTTGTTTTTACTACTGATTTAGAAAATGTATATAAATTGATATTATGTCTGACTGAAACCTGGTTTCCACTACTGATGTAGAATTAGTACTATAAATTAACAATACTTTTTAGTCAGACCAAAAATATGAATTAGTGTACATTTTAACATAAGTAGAAAAAGTCTATTTATGCCAGACAAAAGTATTATAAGTAGTAAAAGTCAATTTAAGTCAGACAAATATTATAAGTAGTAATAGTCAATTTTCAGTAAGACCACACAGTAAAACATGAGGTGTGAAAATAACACCAGAATGGATTAAAATAATCTGCAACAGTATAATCCTTTTAGGATTAAATTAACACCAGAAAGGATTAAAATAATCTATTATCAATCTACTATTTCAATAAAATTTTCCAAAAGAATTCCATTATTAAAAAAAATTTAAATAAAATTCTACACAAACATTCAATTATTTGCATAAGTAATAAAAAATTTTAAAGGAATTCAATTATTTACAAATTTTTTTATAAATTTCTTCGCAATAATTCAATTATTTTCATAAATAATAACTTTTTTATAGGGATTCAATTATTTTTATAAATAATAAAATTCTTTTAGGAATTAAATTATTTTCATAAATATAAAACTCATTGCAGAATTTAATTAATTTTTAATGTAATTTTAATCGAATTCCTCGAAAAATGTAATTATTCTTACAAATTTTATTAAAATTCGTCCAAAGAATTTAATGATTTAAAAAATTTGTTGATAACATTTTTTATGAGAATTTAATTTCAAGAAACATGAAATTAATAATAAATTACTTATTTTTGTAATTAAATAATTGAATTCTCGTAGAATTTACTAATAAAAATGGTTTTAAAAACTACGAATTTCAGTTAAAATTTTAGATTATAATTAAATATTAAAAGCATTATAACGTGGATTTTTATAAATAATTAAATTTAGAAAAAGTTTTAAACTAAAATCATTGAAATTCTTAATTTTTCATATTTCTGACAAAAAATTCTGTAGAATTAATTCTTTTTAAAAGTTTAATTAGGATTTTCATTGAAATTATTTCAAGTTTTTAGTTTTCAATATAATATTTAATTGCAGAATTTCCGAATAATTGAAATTTTTTAAAATTGAATTGTAAACGAATGAATTTCAAAAATCTCAAAGAACTTTTTTAAAAATTATTAAAAAAAACGGATTTATTGAAGAATTTTAGTTAAAAACACTAGAAAAAAATTTAATTTTAGAGAAGTTACAAATTATTGCAGAAATTCAATTATTTTCAAGAGTAATAAAATTCTTCTTAAGGATTCAATTATTTTTACTTATAATAAAACTCATCGCAGCGTTTCAATTATTTTTCATACAATTATAATTGAATTTCTTGAAAAAAGTAATATTATGTTCATGCAAGTTTGAATAAAATTCGACAAAAGAATTCAATTATTTAAAAATTTGTTAATAAAATTCTTTATGAGAATTGAATTTTGAGAAGCATTCAATTATTATTATTATTATTATTATTATTATTATTATTATTATTATTATTATTATTATTATTATTATTATTATTATTATTATTATTATTATTATTATTATTATTATTATTTACTTTTGCATTTAAATAATTAAATACTTGTAGAATTTTCTAATAAAAATTGATTTTCATTTCACTGTAAAAAGAAAGGTACTAATTTAGTACCAATTTTGGTACTAAATCGTAATTTGGTTCTATTTTAATACCGAAATTAGCTCTAATTTAGAACTTTTTTTTACAGTGTTCATAAAAATGAATTTCAGTTAAAATTTTAGATTGTAATCGAATATTATTAAAAGCAATATAGCGTGAATTTTTAGAAATAATTGAATTTTGAAATAATTTTTTTGAAAAAGTTTAATTGAATTTTTTTTTATATTATTTGAAGTTTTTATTATCGAATATGCATTTAATTAAAGAATTTAGGAATAATTGGAATTTCGTGAAACTGAATATTGTAAACAAATGGATTTGAAAATTGCCAAAGATCTTTTTCAAAAAATTCTTAAAATTAATTGATATAAAGTAAAATTGTAGTTAAAAATTTTTGAAAATAATAATTGAATTGAAATAATGAATGATATTTCCTAAATATTTCCTGAATATTTCACTGAAAGATTGAAATATTTCAGTGCAAGGTTCTTGAAATATTGCTGCAAATTGAAAATGTCCGCCTATATGAAATATTGACGCGAAAGTTTAGAAAATATTTCATTGATATATTTTGGAAATTTTCAACTTAAATTATGCGCACTGGTCGAACTCAGTTTTTATATCCTGTATAACTTAGTCCTTTCATGGGATAAAAAATATTTCCGTCAATAATATTCAAGCTTAATAACTAAACTTTCAATCCCATTTGGAAATTTGAGAAAAAAAATTTTAATTCAGATTTTATAAATTAAAATGTAAAAATGTGGCTATTTCACCCCGTTCTACTCTAAGTAGTAAAAGTCATTATGTCTGACTGAACTTAGTTTTCACCACTTTTTTTAGGAAAGAGTACCAGAAATTTAAAGTCACGTCTGACCAAAAATTGATTTTACTACTGTTTTAGAAAAAATACCACTAAATTGATATTATGTCCGACTGCATCTAGTTTTGACTACTGACTTTGAAGAAGCATAAAAAAACAAGATATTTCGTTGGAGTAAAAATTGCTTTTACTTTCAACAAACAAAAAGTTCGAAAAAAGAACTTTTATGTCTGACTAAAACTTGTTTTAACTACTGATTTCGAAATAGTGCGATAAATTGCATATTATGTGTGACTAAATCTAACTTTGAATAAGTTTTGGAAAATTACAAAAAATTACGTGTCCCGGCTGACTAAAATTTGTTTGTACTACTGATTGAAAAAAGTATTAAAAATTATTTGTCGCATTTTGCTAAAATTTGCATTCACTACTGATTCAAGAAAAGTGCAAAAAATTTAGTGTTATGTCTGACTAAAACTTGTGTTTACTACTATACTGGTTTAAAAAGAATTAGAACAAAATTATATATATTGCGTCTGACTGATATTTACTTTCGCAACTATGATTATCAAAAAATACAAAAAGTTGGGAATATGTCTGACTAAAATTTGTTTCCACTACTGATACAGTAAAACAATGTGAAAAATTTAGTTGTACGTTTACTAGCGGCTGACTAAAATTTGCTTTCTCTACTGATTAAGGAAAAGTACAAAAACTTAAGTTTCATGGCTGACTATAACTTATTTTTACTACTGATTTAGAAAGAGTACCATAATTTCGATATGATGTCGGACGAATCTTAGTTTTTACCGCACTAGTTAAGACATTATAAAAAAGGGTATTACGTCTGACTTAAACTTTCTTTCACTACTATTCCGCCCCTCTGTGGGCGTTTTAATCTCCCGCGAACATCTTCGGACCAGCGTAGGTTAATTGAAAAACCACTAATTTTAAACTGATTTTAAGAAATTTTGCATAAATAGTAGAAATCATTTGACTCACTTTAAAATAGATGTCAACTATTCAAATTTAGCAATAGAAGATTAGAGATAAGATCAGTTGTATAGATTATTTAATAGCATTTGTCAAAAATAGAACAACTTTATTTCTACTCGATCTCATCAGTTTAAATATAAAAGACAAACTTTTTATAGCCCGCCATGTCACGTGGGTTATTCCTGTGAAGTAAATGACGTGACATAAAAATTAATTTTTTATTGCAATTTTATTCATAACCACGAGGAAACAAAAAAAGAGAACTTTCTCTCTCTCTCTCTCTCTCTCTCTCTTACTTGCAATTCTGAAAGAAACTTATTCTTATAAATCCAGACGACAGATTGTCTTCTTGGGACGATCGAGACTGATTTCCCACGCGTCCTCCGATCACTATTAATTTTCCGACGATGAAAACAGAACTTTTATCCTACCTCTCCCCCCTCCCAGTCCGACGTTCAACGTAAAGTTTTGCACAAATTGAAGGCGGATATGAGATATGAGATTTTGAGTACTTTCTAAAGAAATTTTTTCTAATTATGTGAAAATGTCAGTATAAAATTAACCATTTTTCTTTAGTAAAAATATTTGTTGTGGTATTAATAAAATTTTTAATAATGTGAATTAAAATTATGAAGTTTAATTTACTATTTTAGATGATTAAAATGACTTTTTTTGACCCTATAAAGAATATTTTTTTCTCTCAAAAAATAATTGTATACAAAAAAAATACAATATATTTATTTTAGAATATCTTTATAATTATACAATTATTCGAAACATCAACTGTTTTTTTTACTCTATAACTTCTCTAAAATTCTTTTCAACATTTTAATTTAATTCTCTTCTAGAATTTTTATAACTAAAATTCTTTTCGAAAAAAAATTATTTTTTTATAATTAGAAAGTTTCTTGAGAATTCCATTATTTATTTAATGAAAAAATAGTTCACGTAAATTATTCATGAAATACAATTATTTACAATTCAGTTTTTTAAAATTTCCAC